AAGAGCCAAGAGCAGAGAGACGGTGTCTGACCAGGTGGCGTTCTGCGGGCTCAGGGAGGCACTCAGCATCTTGGTTAAGAAGGGGTATTGCAATTCCCAAGCTCCCTGCGGGCTCTAGCTCCTGAACTTTGACTCTTCCGCTTGCGGTTGCCGTGGACCCGCCTCTTGCACGCCATTGGCAGACCTCTGCAGGTCCCACCCTCCATGGGCCCCGCCCGCCGCCAGTACTCAGGCGAGGGGCGGTGTTTGGCTGTCAGGCGAACCTCACAAACCCTAGCGGCCCTGACCCGGTCGCCCACATCCCTCCCTTCCTCCTTCCTGGTGAAAAGTACTGGAGCCCCAGGGTAAGCAGCGCCCCCGCAGCTGCCATCTTGGTGCGTGCCTTCCCTGGAAGGTGAAAGCTGAATCAGGCAGCCTGGGAAGGTTCCGCAGCCAGTCCTGTGAGAATATTCTGCTCACTCACAGAGCGCAGTCATTCACCGTGACCCTCACACACCGGGCACAAGCACTGCCCAACAAATTGTTACAGACTCAGGTTTCAGCCGCTCAGTGGTGATATTCTACTCCCTTGGTAGAGTGTCTCTACGTTGTCTCTTACGATCCCCGCCAATAGGAAGGGTGCAACAGATGATTTGCTCATCAACTCTGTTTCAGGCGTTGAATATGAACGACCCGGGGATCCTGTCCCTGTTTGAATAGGAGGTGCTGCTGTAGAACCTTGGCTTCCCACTGGAATCATTCGCGATTTGTACCACTCCCAGTCTAGGGAAGAGCCAAAGCGTGGATATATCAATGTATGTAATGCAAAATCTCTCTGTGAGATTTAAATGTTGAATTCTTAGGACAGGAAACGGTACTAGAAAAAGAAGTACTCCCCGCCACTGTGTGGGAGCAGGTAAGAACGATGCCCAAACTTCAATGGGGAAAGGCAGGAAAATGGGTAAGAGTTTCCCAGAGTGGGAGGCAAGAGTGTTAGCTCCAGAAGTAAAACTCTGGAGCCAAAAGAAAAGTGTAGCTGAGCGCGTGGGTGATCAAGGGACCAGGTATTGAGAGCTTCCTGAGGGCAGAGGAAACCCATCAAAGGACTCAGGAACTGAGAGTGGTCAGAGAGATGTGTTTTAGATGAAACCCTGAAGCAAACGGGCCACCTGGGTGCTGTTAAGAGCCCTCGGGGCACTGGAGCACAGAAAATAGGTGCCCACACTGGGACCCGGGCAGGAAGAAGAATGAGGATTGTCAGCACAGAAGGCAGAGTTGGCAGGACTCTAGCGTGGTGGAGCTGAGGATGGTTCTCAGATACAGGCATGTCTATCCCCAGGGTGGAAAAGAATAGAAGAGGAAGACAATGCATTCACATGCGTTGGGTTAGAATGCAGGAGTATGTTCTATTTTCTTAGACTCTGCCTTCCTACCTGCATCCATCCATTACTCAGAAGCCAAGCTCAGGTTATGGAGCTTTCCCCTGAAACCCAGAGCCCATTCCCCCAAGCAGCTAAGGACAGCCTGTGTGCTCCAGAGGCCTCTCCAATTATTGGAACTGGTTAATCCTAGCCCTGCCCCTGCCTGTCTTCCCTCAGAAAAAAACTGGATTGTGCCTGCCCTTTCCTCCAAGGACATTGGTGCTTCCCCCCTTGGGACTGAGCATGACTCGTCTTGTCTTTTGTCTCCAAGGTAACTGAAGATCATTTTCTTTAAAAAGCATTGACCCCTTCAGTGCCAGCACCAGCCACCAAACCCAGACCCAGGTACAAATCAGTAGGATGTTCACTTCCTGAGGACTGGGCCCTTGTAAGCTACGGTTAGAGATCTTGGAGTCATTTCCATTTAGTTGGAGTGGGGTGGCTTTTTGTCTTTTTTATTTTGCTTTTGAGACAGGGTCTCACTGTGTATCCCTGACTGGTTCAGGAACTGCTGACCTTGATTGAACGTGAAGCGATTCTCCTGTCTCTGCCTAAACCCTGGGTTTCAAGGGTAAACCACCATGCTCGGCTCATCAGCATTTAGATGATGGGTTCATTGTTTGAGTTGATTTTAAAAAGCACTGCAAAATGAATGTTCTAGCAGAAATGCATGCCCCCAGTCTGAACACAAGATCAAGATGTCATCAGGGTGGGTTCCATGGGGATCTGTGTGTGCGTCTCCCACCGCTCCTGAAGACTGGTTGGTAAGCTTCAGTCCATGGGCAGTCTGCTCTGTGTCTATCTTCTCGTGGCGATCCCATAACAAAATACTACAGACTGGAAACCTTTTAAAGATTTATTTTTTACTTTGTGTTTGTCCATGTGTGTTTGTGTGTGTGGGGGGGGGGTGAGCACAGGTTCCCAAAGATGTTAAAGGAGGGCATTCGAGCTGGAATTTCAGGCAGTCGTGAGCCACTTGGCACGGGTGCTGGGAACCAAGCCTGCGTCCTCTGCAAGAACACACTGTGCTGTCTTAACCATGAAGCAGTAATCTCTCCAGGCCTATGCTGGACTATTTATAAGCAATAAAAATATGTTGCTCACAGTTTTGGAGTGTGACAAGTCCAAGATCAGATGCTAACAGGGTTTAGTGTCTGGTCATGACCTGTTCTTCATAAATGATGCCATTCATGTGTCCTAGCATGGTGGCGAGAACAGGAAGACAAGACAGCAAAAGGCATAAACACTGCAGCTTCTCCCACAATGCCATTAATCTACCTTTGGACTTAATCATGTTTCAAAAGTCCCCACCTGATGTTCATAGCAGCTTTGTTTGTCACAGCCAGAACCTGGAAACAACCTAAACGCCCCTCGACTGAAGAATGGATAAGGATAATGTGGTACATTTACACAATGGAGTACTACACAGCAGAAACAAATAACGATATCTTGAAATTTGCAGGAAAATGGATGGAGCTAGAAAACATTATTTTGAGTGAGGTAACCCAGACACAGAAAGACAATTATCACATGTACTCACTCATAGATGGTTTTTAAACATGAATCAAAGAAAGCCAGCCTACAATCCACAATCCCAGAGAACCTAGACAACAAAAAGGACCCTAAGAGAGACTTACATGGATCTAATCTACATGGGAAGTAGAAAGTAGAAAAAGACAAGATCTCCTGAGTAAATTGGGTCCATGGGGACCTTAGAGGATGGCTGAAGGGGGAAGAGAAGAGGCATTGAGGGGAGCAGAGAAAAATGTGGAGCTCAATAAATTTTAATTAAAAAAAATTTTTTAAAAAGTCCCCACCACTTAGCACCACAACAAAGGGTAAGTCTCGAGACGTTAATTTTGGGAGACACTTCAGCCCATGGCTGCATTATTCCTGTATGTTACGTGTTCAAATTTCCTTTTTAGCTATGAACACCAGTCATACGGAATATATATACTCCAGTATGACTTCATCTAAGTTAATCGCATCTGCCATTATATTATTTCCAAATATGATAAAAATCCGGAAGCTCTGGTGGTTACAGCTTCAACAGTTGAGCATTTGGATAACACAGCCAAACCCTTGACTGTTATGGAATAATCTTTTTGTACACTGTGAAGCTGTGTCTTTGCCAAAGCATCTTCTGATTGGTTAATAAAAGAGCTGACTGGCTGGTAGCTAGGCAGGAGGTATAGACGAGATACCTAGACACAGAGGATGCTGGGAAGAAGGGTGGAGTCTGGGAAGTCACAAGGAGACTTGGAAGAATGCAAGATGAATTTGCCGTACTGAAAAAAGGTATCACCATGTGGCAGAGCGTAATTAAGAAATATGGGTTCATTTAAAATGTAAGAGCTAGTTAGTGACAAGCCTGAGCTATCGACTGGGCATTCGTAATCAATAAGTCTCAGTGTGGTTATTTGGGAGTGGCTGCTAGGGCACAAAGAGACTCCACCTGCATCTCACGGATAATGATGGAAGTTACAAGAACACATGAGAAACTGGAGAGTGAGAAGGGAATCCCAAGGAACACCAGTGCATGCAGAGAACTGAGACCAACTGACCAGACAGGGAGGAGTAGCACAGCGGAAACCAGTGGACAGGGGTCCAAGCCAACCTTGCCCAACAGCACCCCCCACAGGAAAGATAAGGTCCTTCCTTTCACAGGAAGGAAAGGTTGTCTTATGGCTGTGATGGCTGCTGACTGAAGGCTCTGATGGAATTGAAGGAGGCTGAAGATTCTGAGGCATAAGATTATTCAAAAACCTAAGTCCATGGACCAGTGGGTGAGATGCAGCCCAGGGCTTAGGTAGAAGGACTCACCGCTCGGATAAAAGCAGGCGACACTCCATTTTGACAGCTTTAAGAGCTGCACCGTCTGTATTGGCAAACTGCTGCTCCTGTGGCAATGGTTTCTCCCGATACACCGCCCCATCTGCCTCTCCCCTCACGTGGAACCTCTCCATAATGCACGTGGTCACAGGGACGCATGGACACCTTCCTTGGAACCTCAGCTTTAACAACTTAAGAAGAGCTTGTTAGGATGTCTTGATACATATAACCTGTTCACACCCATACTGTCGCACCCCTAGATAACTGGCCATGTATTGGCCACACTGCTCCTTTCAGTGCCGGCCACAGTCACACATACTAACAGTAAGTCATGTTCTCCTCAATCACAAACAAGTTTCTCAGATAAAGTCAGTGGCACCCACAGCATAATCATAGTTAAAGAGGGTTTAAATGAACCCCAGCCTCGTATCTGTCCAGTTGTATCTATTTCTCTCACGCAACACCCCCTGCCTCACCACTGTTTCTTGGTGTCTGTCTTAGACACACCAATCTCACTGTTCCGTGACTCTGCCTTATACACACAAGCCAGACTCACCACTTTGACTCGGGCTCATCTATACCATATGCCTCCTCAGCCAGCCACACAAACACCCTCATAAATCCTTTCTAGTCTGTCATACACGCAGACTCCACCTCACCAGTCTGTCACACTCACAAACGCAATCCAGTCTGCCTCCGTCTCCCAGAGACACACACTGAGGACCCCATCCATCCCCCCCCCCCCCACACACACACCGCATGGAACAAGGCCAGGTGGAGGCGCTGCAAGACAGGTCTGGGCAGGGCGGGGCGGTGGCCCTCCCGTGCTGTCTCTCGCACAGGACTCTGCCCGGGCCTGGGCGGCGGCTGCAGCCTGGAGGGCGACGTGGAAAGGCCACGTGGAGCCGCCCGGGGGAGGGCCGGCTGCGGGCAGCCAGGCGAGAGCGGCGCGGTGCTTACAGTGCGCACGAAGCAGGAGCCCCAGTAGCGCGCAGCGCCACCGCAGCAGGTGGGTCGGACTCGGGCAGGGGCTGGGGCCCAGCGGGCGGCGGCGGTACCCGGCTCCTTGGGGTTGAGGGTGGAGACCTTCTGCCTGCGGTCAGGATGCCGAGAGCGCAGTCCTCCGCATCCCCTGCAGCTTGGACTCGGGCTGGGGAGGTGGCCCTGGCCTCCAAGTACCACTGGGGAAGAGATCATCCGTGAGAGCAGATAGAGGAGGGGTGCAAAGCACCCCCGAAGCCCCTGGGTTTGAAGACAGGTTCAATAGCCCTGCCCTGGGGTTTCGAGTAACTAACTAGGGTTCACCCTCATTCAGTAGATGGAGATGATTTAAAGGACGCTGTCCATCGTCATCCAACTGCAGGTGTCTAGTCTACATCCAGCTCAGGTGTGCGCCCCTTAGACTGCATAGCCGCAGCCATTTAGGACTCCGCCTCCCTAGACCAGGACACCAACGGGCTAAATCAAGGGAGATGTCTAGATTCAGATAACTTCTCCACGGTCAGACTTGTTCAGAAATGACGTGGATGCCCTTTACGAAGGCAGCTCCTGTTCTGGAAAGGTTCAGGAGAGGCAATGTGGCTATTTGACAAGAATACTGTAAACAAAAAGTATCCACGAGATGGGAAGCAAGCTATGTCTCAAAGGCCACGGCCCATTGTGGGGCATCTGCTAGAACTAGCTTAAGTCTATATTATCTCACTGTACCCTCCCGAAGTCCCTAAGAAACACCCTCATCTTAATAGTGAAGATCCCAGTGCTAAGAGGGATTAAGACACCCTCCTGGACCACGTAACAGTGTAGAGGCAGGATCTGACCAAAGGTCCAACTTCAAGGCCAAAGTTTTCTCCTGTGATCTAGGGCAAAGGCCTAAAGAAACTGGAGGCAGACGGTTCTGTGTGTGTGTGTGTGTGTGTGTGTGTGTGTGTGTGTGTGTGTGACTTAAGTAACTTCTCTGAGATATATCACAACTATTATCTTGCAGTTACAGTGGCTTTCAAGTATTTATTAGGATGGTTACATTTATGCATGTTATAGTAATAGGAAGTGGGGCTACGATCATTTTTATTTTACAAGCAATTGTGTGTGTGACTTAAGTAACTTCTCTGAGATATATCACAACTGTTATCTTGCAGTTACGGTGGCTTTCAAGTATTTATTAGGATGGTTACATTTATGCATGTTATAGTTATAGGAAGTGGCTACTATCATTTTTATTTTACAAGCAAGTGTGTGTGTGTGAGAGAGAGACTTAAGTAACTTCTCTGAGATATATCACAACTGTTAACTTGCAGTTACGGTGGCTTTCAAGTATTTATTAGGATGGTTGCATTTATGCATGTTATAATTATAGGAAGAGGCTATGATCATTTTTATTTTACAAGCAATCGTTCAATGACCACTCTATTTCTGTTACTTACATGGGCTTCAAACTATGTAAAGATGAACAAGTCATATTGCATCGCCCTCATCACACCTCACATGGAATGTCGTTTTGATTCCCTTAAACAATGGCTGAAAGCATCAAGAGAATATTAGCCTCAAAGTCCTCGTGCAGTGCTTTTCATTTCTGAGGTAGACTGCAATTGAATGCCAAGGTTATCAGGAGGGTCCAGATGGAAGGTGGAACAGGTTTGGACAAAAACACTAAAAAACAAAAAATAAAAATAAGAAAATCTAGTATGCCGTTGTCTAAAGCAGTGCTTGTTGTAATGGAGCCCTGGAGGATGAGGTAAAGATGGTGTGGTACCTGAGCACCCGAGTGAGGACTGGACTGTGAGGGAAACAAGGAGCCATTAAAGGCCTTGTGGGATTGTCAGGTGTGGTGGTGCACACCAATAATCCTAGTGTGTGGATCAGGAGTTCAGGGTTATCCTCAGCTACATGATAAGTTGCAGGCCAGCCTGGGGTACGTAAGACCCTGTGGGATTTTTTTTTTTAATTAATTGATTATTTTGAAACAGAGTCTCTCTGTAAGCCTAGATGTTCTGGAACTCCCTTTGTAGACCAGACTGGCCTGGAACTCACAGAGATCCTCCTGTCTCTGCCTTTGAAGTATGGGGGTTAAAGTTGTATGTCAAAACCCCTGGCCTTTATTGTTTTTATTTTATGTGTGTGGTTGTTTGGCCCGCATGTATGTATACCATTTGTGTGCAGCGCCCTCAGAGGATAAAGGAAGACAGAAGAGGACATCAGGCCTCCTGGAACTGGATTACAGATAGTTGTTAGCGGATCTATGGGTGCTGGGAACTGAGCCAATGCTCTTAACAGCTGAGCCATCTTTCTAGCTCCTGTTTTTTTTGTTTGTTTGTTTGCTTGCTTGCTTGCTTGTTTGTTTTTGTTTTGCTTTAAAGAAAAGGTTTTGAATGGATCAGCAAAATGGGTTGAAATACTTGCAAGAGAGGACCTGAGTTCAAACTCCATATCCCACAAGGTGGCAGGAGAGAGCCAACTCCCAAGAGTTGGCCTCTGACCTCCACAGGTGTATCCTGACACACACCGGCTGATACTCATGCACACATATACACAGTAATGAAATAAGCAGTAAAACATGTTTTTTGAGCAATGGGGTTCTAGGAAAGGGAAGTGTATCTGATGTGGGTGTAAAGACAGTCCCACAAGCTGGGACAACAGTAAAAGACTGTGTGAGAAGGAGCTCACTATTCACTGTTTACTGCAAGCCCATGAAAGTGGTTCTGGGTTCCGTCCATTGCACACACTAAATAGTTACATATACAAGGGACTCAGAGGACAGCGAAGGGGACGGTGACACTGATGCACATGGGGAAGGCTCAGTATCAGCACGTGATTTATAGTCCAGTGCACACGTGGCTGAGACTTTCAGGACAGCTGCAGCAGAGCAGCAGACAGCCAAGCCTGTATGTAGGCTCTGTATGTTAAGCAGATCCCACACCTAGGAAGCCAGCTCTCTGAGACTGGTGTTTGGATTATTATGATTACTTAACAAGCCACTCAAAACCTAAACGGTTTGGATTTGAAGATAGAGGAGCGCCCCTGAGTCCTTCAGAGCCCCCCCCCCCCCGGCCTTCAGAAGGGGCTCCAAACGTGGCAGTATGGGGTGCTCCCAAGTCGTCTCAGGCTTCCCAGAGTTAGGCATGCAGCTTGTACAGCTTGGGCCGAAAGCAGCTCCAGAGCTTGCCTTGCTCCTAGGCAGACTAGACTATCACATTGATGCTTCAGTACCAGCTAGGCTATAGGAATCCTCTGTAGGCTAAAACGCAGGATATAACAGCCAGATATGGGGGCACACTCCTGCAATCAGCACTTGGCAGGAAGCTACATAGGGAGAGCCTGTTTCATAAAAGTAACCAGAGTTAGGTGTGGTGGGGCATGAACTCTCTGTTCTCGGGAGGCTGAGACAAGAGGATGTCAGTGAGTTTAAGGCAAGTCTGAGCTAAATGAGTTCAAATCCCACCTGGATTGTATAGTGAGACCTCGCTTCATAAAACCAACCAAACGAAACAACTTAGTAGCTTCAGATGATAACCTTAACTTTACTCCGGATGCCGTCTAGGCCAAGGCAGTGGGGACCAGCTTTCTTCCACGCATACTGTTGGCTAGGCCAATTGAAATGGATTCATTCTCTCGCTTCTCTGGATAGGAGATAGCTGGGCCCCAAGAGCTCTATCCCTATGTAGTCTTTTAGGGGTTTGTGGGCAGACAGAGGGAGGCAGAGGCGCTACGTGGACCTGGCAACCTTTTCAGCTATCTCAGTCACCCGGAAGCCAGTCACTAAGTCCAAACATGTAAGAAGAAGTGAATTAAACTCCAGGTTTAGTGGGAAAAAAAGATAAAAACAAATTGAAGACATGGACCAGCAAGACAGGTAGTAAAGGTGTTTGACTTTAGTCTGATCCCCAGGGCCTACATGGTAGAAAGAAAGGACTCCTAAATGTTCTTCTCTGACCTCCATATGTTTACCGACACACTGGCACATGTGTGTATACACACACACACACACACACACACACACACACACAAAGGTTTTTCTTTTCTTTCTTTCTTTTTTTTGGGGTTTTTTTTTTTTTTTTTTGGTTTTTTGAGACAGGGTTTCTCTGTAGCTTTGGAGCCTATATTGGAACTTGTTCTGTAGAGCAGGTTGGCCTCGAACTCAGAGATCAGCTTGCCTCTGCCTCCCGAGTGCTGGAATTAAAGGCGTGGAACGCCACTGCCCTGCAAGAAGGACAATTTTAAATTAAACAAAAACAATTGTAGTCATGTTTTTGGGGTCCCTGCAGTTAGTCTAATGAATGAATGGATTGGTGGGTGGAAGGGCACTTCCTGCTGGGCCCAAACTGCCACCACCAGGGTTTTCTTTGGAGTTCAACTAGCCTCTTCTTAAAAGTGACCTGAGTGGATGACAACAGATTCAGTCCAGCTCTCAGGAATTTAAATTATGTGAGTACCCTGCAGCCCAGATCCTGGCAGGGAACTGATGGGGAGGAGAAAGTAATTTGAAGGACTCAGGTGGGAAGACCCGAAGGGAAAGTGTGTGCAAAGACACTGCAGAGCAGCCAGGACAACTTCTGGAAGGAAAAGACCTCATCTCATTTAGCTACCCCCGAGTCTGCATTGCCGATGGAGACGGGAGATAGAGAGGGTACCCAGTGCAAGGCAGAGCCCGTGCTGGGACCATGTTCGAACATTGGGTTCGTCCTCGTTCTCCTAGCAATTCTGTATTTCTGTGTCCTTCCTTTCCTCTCTGTCAGGATCTACATTGCCTAGACTGGCCTCGAACTCACAACCGTCCTACCTCAGCCTCCCAAGGAGCTGCAATTGCAGGCATGTGCCACTCACTTCTGTTCATCTGTTCATTCTTTAAACATGTGTGCTTTTCCCTGATTGTGTAATTTTGCAAGCCTTAAGGAGGAAAAGTTGTTTGATCTTATCCCTTCAACTTACTGCTAAGAGAGTACCTCGGTTATAAGAAGGGAACTCGAGACAGTAAGGAAATGGGCTGGGGAGATGACTCAACGGTTAAAAGCACAGTTGTGGCTCTTACAGAGGACCCAGGTTCAGTTCTCAGCCTCCACATGGTGGCCCACAACCTTCTGTCATTCCAATTCTAGGGATCTGATGCCCTCTTCTGATCTCTTTGGGCACCAGGCATTCACAGGGTACACATACATATGTGCAGACAAAACACTCATATACATACATACATACATACATACATACACACATACATACGTAAGTCTAATATATATTTGAAAAATAGTCTGACAGTACGCTTCAGTGGTAGGGCACATGACTTGCATGTGTGAAGATTTGGGCTTGACTTTCCAGCACTGAAAAACAAAGAAACGAACAGCTGGCTGGACACCATGGCACACATCTGCAATCCCAGCACTTGGGAGGCAGAGGCAGGGGAACAAAGGTGACACGTGCTACTAAAGGGAAGTCTGTGTTTGTATTCTACAAGTTATACAGTTGCTGTCCTCAAATTCCGGCCCTGCTGGTCCTGTCATTTGACAGTCGCTTTCTGCTACTGTAACAAACATCCGAGACCATCGACTTAAAAAGCGAAAAGGTTTACTTTTAACTCAGTTTCGGAGGTTTTAGCTTGGAGCCAGTTGGCCTGGCTGCTTCTGTACCTGTGGAGAGACAGCCCATCATGGCTGGGTGGGAGACAGAGCTGCTCACCTCATGGCTAGGATGGGAAAGGGAAGGAAGACAAGGCTGGAGTCCTTTATTGCATGCATCCCTAGAGAGATGGAGATCTTCCACTAGCCAGCATTTTTCCCTTTTCTCCCCTCCCCTGTCTGTCTCTCTCCTCCCTGTCCTTTCCCCTCCCCTCTCCTGTGATGTATGTTTGTGTAGGCATTCATGAAGATGTGTATACATATGAGTGTGAGTGTACATGTATGTTTGTGCATGTGACTGTGGAGGCCAGAGGCAGACATTGGATGTAGTCCTCAATCACTCTCTCTTATTTCTTAAGACAAGGTCTCCCTGAACCTGGGCTCACTAACCAACTAAACTGACTTGCCAGTGAGCTGCAGAGATCCACCTGGCTCTATCCCCTCTCCAGCCCCACCCCTGTGCCCTCTAAGTCAGCTGGAGATGGGATCTCCAGTCTTCATGCTTGTCCAGTAAGCACTTTACGGATGGAGCCACCTTCCCAGCCCAGGATCAACCTCTTAAAAGTTCTACCCTTTCCCAGTGGTGCCGGGTTAGACTCACGCCTTCACCTCTAATACAGGGGTCGTCAGAGGACAATGCAGATCCATGCTGCTGCCCCATGGTGTCCTCTTTCTTATCTAGCCCAGGGTCCACACATCCTGGCATTCTTCTGATCTCTCTGGCAGCTGGCTTTCTCAATCTCTATGGACCCCTTCTTTTCATATTGGAAACTGGACCCCAATTGGCCCTTCCTTATTCCAGAGACTTGTCATACAAAGAGCTTTTAAGGTTGCCTAGTTCCCCAACCCTTTGCTGCCTGCCACACAGGTCTCTGGGGCAGGGTCTCCTCTCTAACTGCCCCTTCCCCGAAAGGAAACAAGGGGTCAATCTGCAGAGCTTGGATTTCCTTCTGTTGATGTTTCTGCCTTCCGCTTCCTTTTGAGGCACCCAGGTGGCCTCCAGACTCTGCTGTCAATTCCTTGAACTTCATGATTGCAGAAATTTAGACTTTTGAAATTCTCAAATCTGTCCTTTTTTCTCCTTAAATTTTATAAGTTTAGGAAGCTGGAAAGATGGTTTAGCAGTTAAGAACTCTGCTCTTCAGAGAAAATGTATATATCAATTAAAAACAGCCAAAACAAAACAAACAAAAATCTCTGTTCTTCCAGAGGATCCAGATTCAATTCGTAGCACCCACATGTGGTTCACATCTGTAACTTGGGTCACAGGGGATCTGATGCCATCTTCTGGCTTCTGTAGGCATGAGGCACATGTGTGGTACACAGACATACATGCAGACAAAGCCATCTACATATATAAAATACATAAGAATTCTGAAATTTAATTAACAACTGGTAAGTTTAGACATTTTCTTTTATCATTCTTGTTGTAGTTGGTGGTGATGGTTTTTATAGGACAGGGTCTCACTCCGTAGCCTTGACTGGCCTGGAACCAGCTGATGCTTGAAGCTAGAGTTCCACCTGGCTGTGAGCTGCTTGACACGACTGTTGGAACACAAACTCAGGTCCTCTGGAAGAGTCACAAGTGCTCTTAGTCTCTGAGATGTCTTTCCAGCCCCCTTTTGTTCACGTGCACGGAGTATAGCTGTTGGAACCTCAGCTGGATGTATGGAGCCTCTTCTTAGTCTGTTCCTATGGGCCAGCCCCTGCTTTATCTCTGGTCTGCTCTGCTGCATGGACCACTCAGATGGGTGACTCTGGTTCATATGGACTGAGTCTGACAGACACTCCTGACGAGGGCGATGTCACCCCCCATGACTGGTTCCACTGTGCTTTGGTAGACTGAGAATGTCTTGCCTCCCAGTGCTCCTAGAGGAATATGTTCTAATTGTATCCAGCCCTGTACCTATTTTCCTGGGGATGTTTGCTACCATACTCTCAGGTGTGGCACTGAGCTCCCCCCTATGACTGGGCTGTGTCCCTTTGGGGGTTTGATGTTAACATGGAGAACTAAGTTCTAGTTGCCTACCTTAAATGACCACGTTACACCATCATCTCTCCTTGGTACAACTAGACCCCAAGGCTCTCCAGTCTCAGCTAATGCTACAGATATCTTTCCGGCAGTAGTGGCTTCAACGTCTCTTCGGCCATTGGGGCTTAGAGAGATCAGCAAGCTACATGTACTCAATGTAGCTGTCAGGACCAATCATACACATAGACAAACGAATATAGCAATGAGGGTAGGAGGGTAGGGGGTGCAGAGACAGCTTAGCTGGTCAAACACAGGCATGAGAACCTGATTTCAATCTTCAGCACCCATGTAAAACGTCAGACTCAGGGCTGGGAGGTGTTCACTTGGTAACGCGCCTACTGTGGATCTGAGTTCAGACCCCCAGAATTCATGTAAAAAGCCAGGCACAGTAGTGTGTGCCCATAACCCCAGTGATGGGGGGAGTGTTGGGGGGATTGAAACAGGTGGATCCTTGAAGCTTATTGGGCAACCAGTTTAGCTGAACTGATAAACCGGAAGTTGAGTGATTCTGTCTCAAAAAATGAAAGTGCTTTGGCAGCTAAAGACACCTACCCTGCAGGCCCGAGGACCCGAGTTTAATCCGGGGAATCTATGGAAATGCAGTCTCCGTAAAGTTGTCACCTGACCTCCACACGCACACCGTAGCACACACGCCCACCGCCACGTCACTCACAGCAATAATACGTTTCTGAAACAGTTTCTCATGATCAAGGATAGTGATCAAAGAAAGATATTTGATGTTAGCTTCTGACCCCCACATGCGTGTGCACAACTATATTAACATGCTGATACCACACACACACACACACACACACCCAGGCACAGCAGTGTGACCTGGAATCGCAGTGCTAGGGAGGCAGAGACAGGAACTAGGACTTGGTGAGCCGCAGGTTCTGTGAGAGACTTGTCTCAAAGCAGTAAGGTGGACAGTGATCAATGATTGAGGAAGATTCCCAGTGTTGACCCCTGACCCCCACACGTTAACACATATGCAAGCTCACACGTGTGCACTCACACACGCACATAAAGGGAAAATGAACACAGGTCCTATGCTGTGATGGCTCCATCTTTTTCTGGACTTCCACCCTTTGGTCTTCCTACTCAAGGCAGCTCCAAACAGTAAACAGGCTTATCTCCCTGTGAGTCAGGTGCTTGCCCGCTCCACTCTAGGCTCTCAGGGAACTGAGATCCATCTTGAACGTGGTTCTGGACCTTGTTAGGATCATGGACCTTTCAGAGAATCCACTGAAAGCTATGGAATGTCCTTTAGGAAAATCTAGTGCTTGCTTGGATTTTAGGTTCTGTGGACGAGAGGTCCTGACCCTTTGCTTGGACTATCAAACATCTGATTATTTTTCTGCACGAAGATGGCTTTTTTTGAGGGGGTGTCTCAGTTTAGGTGAGTGTCTGCCTCCTTGGAAATTCATATTATATGTGCATCCCCGGGATGAGCCAGAAAGCTTAATGCTCTGAGTTTTTAACAGGCTCATTTTATTTTTGACAATTTCCATATAATCAAGTCCGCATAATGTAGAGACAGCCAGACTGGCTTTGAACTCACAATCCTCCTGCCTCAGACTCCTGCATGCTGGGTTTGTTTGTTTGTTTATTAGGTTTTTCGAGACAGGGTTTCTTTACATAGCTTTGGCTGTCCTAGAAACTAGCTCTGTAGACCAGGCTGGCCTCAAACTCACAGAGATCTATCTGCCTGCCTCTGTCTCCTGAGTGCTGGGATTAAAGGTGTCTGCCACCATCGCTGGCTGAGTGCTGGGATTATAGGGCATGTACCACCACACCAAGCCTCAGTAGGTTTTTCCTAAGTGCAGACTCCCTGTTGTCTCCCTCTTTGTCTCTCTGCATGTTTTGGTCTTTGGGGAGCCCCAGCATTCTCATTCTGATCTATCCCCATCTGTAAATGAAGTGGGCACTCTAGAGCAAACATACATAAGCAGCACTTAAGGCCAATGGGACACAGGGAGGAGCCCTCACCCCCAGAGCTGCCTCCCACCATGCAGCTCTGCTTCTATGCACTTAAATACTGGAGCAGGATTTATGTGTTTTTCTATAACCGGGATTTATGTCGAGCAAAGTTCCTGGAGGTTGCCCGTGTGCATGTAAACTCCTCCCAGGTGTCCTTCTATGCCACATGCTTCCGCATGCAAGGAGGGAAGTCATTTCTGTCTGATCTGTCTGACCCCCAACGCTGTGGCAGATACCCCTCCCCTGACTCTCTGATTCTGTTCCTAGCTCCAGTGTCCAGAAGGATGTTCCATTGGCTGATGCAAGTGTTGATGCTGCCACTGTTGCTGCTACCTTTAGGTCACACTGCTCCCAAGGATGGAGCCGCAAGGTAAGAGGATTAGGAGGGCAGGGCCCTGAGCTGCGGTAGGGAAAGTCTCTAAAAAGATGTCAGAACTCCTCTGAGGAGCCAGGAGCCCACTGAAGTATAGCCTCCTTCATTTCTGTGCTCACACACAGACCTCCGGTGTGACTGTCAGAATGTCACAAGTAGGGATTTAGTGCGTGCATGGAGACCCCTTTGCAGCCAGGAGTCCAGCTCCAGTCCTGTGTAAGGCATGAGGAGGAGGCTGGGACAGGGGCTGTGGTCTATGAATCAAGACCTGACATTGGGAATACCAAAGGAACAGGGATCGTTAGCTAACATTTCTGACTTCCTAGAGCTACTCTCGTATACTCAGGATGTGTAGTAGAAGAGCGATGCTGGAACAACCTTGGCAACAGTGACCAAAGTAGCTGCAACAACTCCTGTTGATTCTGCCATTCCAGGCTGATGTGGGCACACAGTCACCCCGCGCAGAAGTAGGAACACTTCTGAGACCCCAGGCAGACTTAAAGTCCAGGCTGACATCCATGCCCTCTGCTTGAAAAAGGAAGAGGCAATGATGTGTCATAGGGCAGACTGGGAAACCTGGGCATCGCTACCAGCCTTAGCTTGAGGTCTACTCCTTGGGTCCTTGGCATTGAAGAAGCAAGACCACCATCAGCCACTGTGTCTCGACACTCTTGACTGTCTTGACACTGGACTATCTTATTGGGCCACCACTGTGTGTCCTACTATGGTGGCCTAGATCTCACCAGGCATTTTCTTCTTTCTTTTCAATTTTGTATTTATTTGCATGTATGTGTCTGTGTGTGCATGAGTGTAGGGGTGTCTGCATAGTCTAGAAGAAGGGGTTAGGTCCCCTGAAGTTGAAGTTATAGGTAGCTGTGAGCCACCCAAAATGGGTACTGGGTGAACTTGGGTCCTCTGGAAGAGCAGTAAGTGCTTTTTGTTTGTTTGTTTGTTTGTTTTGACTTTTTGAGACAGGATTTCTCTGTGTAACAGACCTAGCTGTCTTGGAACTAGATCTTGTAGACCTGGCTGGCCTCAAACTCACAGAGATTCACTTTCCTCTGCTTCCCCAGTGCTGGGATTAAACGTGCAGCAAGTGTTCTTAACCACTGAGCCATCACTCCCTTTTGTGGGTTTTCTAGAACTAACTAAGGTACCTAAAAACAGTCTTGGGGGGTAAGGTTCTGTTTCTAGTGACACCCGAAGAGTTTTTTCCCTACAGCCTTTTCTGGGAAGTTAAAGGGACAAGTCCTTTTGGATCTGGGAAATCTGCCAAGTGGCTGCTAAGCTAGGCCCTGGGCTGACACCTCTCTGCCTGTTCTAGGCTGGACCCTGAAGTTCAACAGCAGCTCACGCCCAACCCCTTCGAGCCAGGCCCTGACCAGCTCCAGTGAGTAAACTGGGGGCTTTCAGTAGGTATTACCTGGTCAAGCCTTGGGTCACAGACAGGATTCTCCTGACCAGTTCACCACTTTCTCGACAGACGGCTGCGGAATTACCTCAAGGGACTAGAGAAGATGGAAGAGGACCCAGAGCAAATGGACCGGGAGCGCGGTGAGGGGCTGGCGCTTGCACCAGCCTAGGAGGCTCTGGGGGCCAGAGCTGGGGCTGAGCGCTGGCTGCCCTGTGGGTTCCCACCTCTTCTAACCCAGATTCTCTTCTCTAGTCCTGCTCTACCTCTTCGCTCTTCACGACTATGACCAGAATGGACAGCTGGATGGCCTGGAGCTGTTGTCCATGCTGACGGCAGCTCTGGCCCCTGAAGCTGCACACTTTCCCATCAACCCGGTAAGCACTGCTGGAAGCTGAGGGAGCTGGAGCTTTGGTCCTTTGGTAGATCCCTGGAAAAGGAAGTTCAGACCCAAGGCAGCAGGGATGAGGCTGTTGGGGAGGGGCTGGACTCCTAAAAATATCTATGGTAACTGTTTCCACAGGTTATCCTGGTAGTGGACCAGGTGCTTGAGACCCAGGACCTGGATGGAGATGGGCTCATGACTCCTGCAGAGCTAATCAACTTCCCAGGAGAAGCCCCCAAGCACATGGAGTCCCTTCCCCCAGGTCTCCAGGAGCCACAACCTGCTGGAAGGCCACTGCATTTAGCTAACAGTCCACTGCAGCCAGAACCCCAGCAATTCCTGGAGACTAGAGAAGAAACTAGGGGCCAGGTGGAGGCCAAAAGGGAGTCTTTGGAAGCTGTACAGGAGGCTGGACATCAGACAGGGGCTAAAGTAGATAGCCTCAATCATGAAGGGGAGACTAGGAGACAGGCGGAGGCTGAAGGAGAAGTTCCAGGTCCCAGAGAGGATGCTGAGGGGCAGGGCGGGAGCAAGGGCAATGAAGGGGAAGCCAAAGAAATGCCAGTGGAAACATCAGATACCATAAACACCCCAAATGCGGTTGAGGCTCACAGTATTCAACTGGAGAATGATGAGATATAAACTAAACAACACAGGCTCCTGTCCCTTAAAATCTCAGCGCAGAGCAGAAGCGTGAAGTGGGGCATACACGCTGGGAAAAGAGTCACCTTTGACACGGGTACGGTGGCACAAGCTAGTAATCCTAGAGCTTGGAAGACAATAGCAGAAGGATTGAGGGCTCCAGGCTAGCCCAGGCGACATAGCTAGCTGGGCTGATTAATAAAACCCTGTCTTGATGAGAAAAAAAAAAGCATTTCCTTTCTGGCCTCAGGAGGAAGCAGGACTTTCTGTGTGGCTCGGGGAGACCTAAGTTGAGAGGCAGCTTTCAGGCCCCAAACAACCAATAAAGAACAGAATGAATTCATCTCCATAGCTATGTGTTCTTGATCCAGCCCGCCCAGCTCCGTCTCTCAGAACACAAGTGTTGGGACTGGACCAACTTATTGCGGGGATGAAGACTCAGCTTTCTCAGCGTTTCTGGCCAGGGATGCTGAGACAGTAAACACAGCCAGCTGCAGAGAGCTCAGTCCACCCTGGGAGTCAAACTCTCTCCCGAAGTTCCCTCTTGACTTGCTATTCAGACCCCTGTGATCCCTGTAGCTCAAGGCCAACAGATGGTCCCCACTCCCTGCTACCATCCCCACTACCCCCTTCTCTTCTTCCTCCTCTTCCTTTTCTTCCAGGCCCTAAAGCTATGTAATGGCCGCAGTGGTGAGGGAGCCTGCTTTCTGGGTCCATGGGGCTTCTGTGTCCAAAACTACCTTCGTTCCATGGGCTTCCCAGGAGCCTGTGTCCTCAGAGCTTACCTTGAGTCAGGTTAGTACTTCAACCACAGATGTAGCCTGACACAGGATGCTGCTGTCCCTTGAAAAGGTTAGATCCAGGTGACATATTGAGATCAAATTCTATTATAAGATTCTGGACAGTTGGACAAAAATGTAGACTTCCTTGTCAGACAGATGCGAATTCAAATAATATTTGTGTACCACCTTAGCACCTATTGCTTAATCCATTGTCTTTAACTTCCCATCTGTCAAATGGAGCTGATTTTTGCCTGGATAAAAATCAGATAAAATGCTGTATTACAATGTCAGCCTGGCACCTGGCGTGTACAAGGTTCTCAGAAGACGGAGGAGTAAGGAAGCCTATGTTTTTGTCCAACTGTCCAGAATCTCATCTTAGAATCTGATCTTGACATGTCACCTGGAACGAAGGTAGTTTTGGACACAGAAGCCCCACGGACCCAGAAAGCAGGCTTCCTCACCACTGCAGCCATTACATAGCTTTACGGCCTGGAGAAATTTTTTTCCTATTGTTTTGTTCTAGAGAGGGATGGGCTGTCCTCCATGGAGTGGATGGTTCAAGGCCCCTACCTTTCCTGAAACTCCTCTGGGGACCGCTGAGGAGCTGGTGAGGCCGGAGCATGCCTGCTACTTTAGCCAGTGTAGCCTCTCCTCTGGGTCTGGGTGGGTGGGGCTAATTTGAAGAATGAATTAAAAAAAAAAAAAAGATGGAGGACTGTGGTGTAAAAGGCTCCGGAATCTCAACCAGAGCAGTCTGAACATCAAGAAGGACAAATGAGCCGGGCCTGTGATTCCAGCACAGGGAGGCTGAAACGTCAAGTTCATGACCAACCCTGGGCTGCATGAGCAGACAGAAAACAAAAATAGACCAATAACAAAAATCAGACAGACAAAGCTGGCTTGGGGAAGGTTTATTTGCTCCGAGCATCTACAGAATGGAGTTGGAGGTATCCAGAAACATGAACACAGACAGAGTTCTCTCCACAGACGCCACCTGCCCAGGAAACGGGGCAGCTGGATGCCAGGCTGGCTGAAGTGGAAAAGGCAATGGCAGGCAATGGTGCCAGCCTCTGAGGTGTTGAGCTGGTGCCTCTTACTGCCCACCTCTCACACAATGCCCTCAAAGCCCTGCAGGCCACACTTCCTGCCAGCCACTTGGCAGCCGAATCTCAGGGCCTCCTGCATGCTGTTTCCTGGAGAGGAGACAAGTGGCAGGGTCAGCCTGGCATTCAGAGAGGGACGAGCCCGGCCCTGCCCTGATCCCAGGCTGAGGGACTCACCCTTCGAAAGGCTGAAGATAACAGAGGCGTTGAAGGTGTCTCCAGCCCCCAGGGTGTCTACTACTTGGGGCGGTGGGAAGGCATCCGAGTGCAGCAGTTGGCCATCAGGGCCCAGGGCATCGGCGCCCTCCTCAGCCCAGGCGCAGACCAGTGTAGCCCTGTAAGACCCACTCAGTGGGTGTTGATCCCCTTCATCCCCCAGCCCCCTCAGGCTCCTCCCTGGCCTCCTCACTCACCCTTTCTTCACACGACCATACAAGCCTCTGAGGGCCTCTGCGGCTGACTGGAACCCCAGGTGCTTGGCCACGTCTTTGCTGACAAACACCTGCGGGCAGTCACTTTGATGAGTCACTCGCTACAGCCGGCCAGTGTTACCTCCAAGTTATAATCTCTTCTGGCACAACACTTCCGACTTAAGTCATGTAAATGCCTTGCATGGCATCCCACAGGGACACAGCCCACAGGGACGCATTTTATGCTTGCTTAAGCTGTGCTAAAATACAGTCTGTGAATTGTGACACTGTGGGCCTGGTATTTTTATTATGGGCTGAGGTAATTCAAAACCCAGAAAGAGCCTGGAGCGCCATCTTGGGGTGAAATCAAACCAGGCTGGCTCTCAAGAGTGGGTTCTGTTTTGTCTGCTCCCCGCACAGCCTAACCCTTCAGGGAGAGTTTCTTCATCAGTAAAATAAGGCAACCGGGGCTCTAGAGCCCTCTCCACAGTGGCTTCATATTAGAGTCCCTAGAGACAGTTCTGGGGGAGGGAGGATCAGCCTGACATATTTTAAACTGTGCACCAAGGCCAATGAACAGCGTCCAGACAGTGTCCAACTAGCTTTAGCTGTGATCCCGGGATTATGGCCTCAGTTTCCTTACACACAGTCCTGTCTAAATCTTCTTTGTACCACGCTCCTCCTCACCCTCCTCTCATTGCCATGGCTCTCACAACCTGCCACCTATGGGGGGGGGGGCACAAAACAACTGGGAACCTCGGAGCACAGAGGTTCCCTTCTTCATTTTGCAGAGGGAAATACTGGGGGTGGGGGATGGGGCGCAAGGAGATGCCCATGGCTGTCTGCGTTCTGTCCATCCTCACTCCTATGTATTTACCTAAGTAGGAATGCTCTACTTTTGAGCTACTTCCAGCTACCATAACCGAGGAGCTGTGACCTGCTGGGAGCTGCCAAGCTGATACTCAGAGCCTGGTAGGCAGGACCAGGGTTCTCTCTAGTTCTCTTAAGAATCCAGTCAGCTAGAGGTGACCAAGAGAAGCTGCAGGGCACTTACCACCTCACCATAGCAAAACAGCTGGAAGAGCTCTTCCCGGGGTTTCTCGATCTCCACGGACACCCGAACTCTCTGGGACAGAGGCTGCTTGGCATTGTACTGTTCTATCCGCTGCAGCATCTTCACCTGTTCGGATGCATTCCGGCCCTGGGGCAGGACAAGGCAGATCAGAGCCTGGCTGCTAAGAGTTCCTTCTTCCCTCCCTGTTATCAGGAACTCTGGGTGAGGAGGGAGAGGGGTAGGAGGAACATGGGCTGGAATTCCACTGGAGAAGCATAATTCTAGGACTGTCATGGGCCTGGCAGACCTGATCAGCCTAATTTTCCATTTTGAAATTGAGACTGAAGAATAAAAGAGGCTGGACTTTGCACGTCTGTGACCACAGCACTTGGGAGATTGAGGCAGGAAGGACTGTGACTTCCGGATCAAGCTGACCTACATACTAAGACCCTGGAAAGGCCGTGGTGGAGAAAGAAACAAGAAAGCAAAGAGCAACTGGGTGTGGTGGCGCACACCTCTAATCCAGAGTACAGAAACTGAGTTGGTCCGATCGCTGTGAGTTCAAAATCTGCCTGGCCTACAGTCAGACCGTGTCTCAAAAAAAAAAAAAAACAAACAACAAAAATCCCAAAGGGACAAACAGAGGGAGAGAGAGAGAACAAAGAGAGAAGAGAGAAAAGAGGTGAGAAAGTGAAGAGGAGATGGAGATAGGAAGAGATAGGAGGTGGAGAGACACGAGAAGAAACTACATTAAGTCAAATGACAAGCCTGGACTTCTCAAGGCTTCCTCCCATCTGGATCCTAAAACTTCTCCCTTGAAAAGAAGGTTCTAGTTCCCTTCAGGCCCTCTCCTTCCTGTCTCCTCAGAAGTGAAAGAAGTCAACTCCTAAGCAGCCAGCAGAGGCCAATACCAGGAGGGAGCCAGCCTTGACTTTTGCCTTGTGCCTATATGATGTATCCCCCGGTCTTTCTGCACCTCAGTTTCCTCAGAGGAAAACATAAGAAAGGGTGGAGAGGAATGGGGGAGGGCTATTCATTATCCTGATAGTACTCCATGGTTCAAAGAAATCATGGAAGAGGCTGACCATGACAGGCTAAGCCCCTAGGAACACAGGTGGGGCAGGGCTTGCCTCAATGTGGATCCACTTGAACCGGGTCAGATCAACCTTCTCAAAGTCCTTGGCAGACACATCTGGCAGGTTCCTACATCACCAGACAGGAAGGAAAGAGAAGCATGGTGAGGTCAACCATGGCTAGGTTCTCTGACCGGACCCTGTGCCTGGTAGAGATACCTGCAGCATGGAAGGAAGCTGGGAAGCACAGAGCTGAGCCCTATCCCACTTTGCTATGGGTTTTTTGTTTGTTTGTTTGTTTTGGAATTTAGGTGTTTAACGGTTATCTAAGGATAAACACAACTGCAACCTGTGACAGTCCCCCTCAGCGGTCCTCGGAAATCACAGCCCCTAGAGTGCAAGAAACTACATTTCCCAGAAGGCCCTTCGCTGGAGCACACAGCTCCCAGCGTGCAATGGCCCCGCGAATTACAAAGCCCAGCCCGAACTTTCCTTAGTGACTGTCTCCAGCTGGGAATTTGCCAGTGAGGGAACACGTCCCGAGCTGCGCTTTACACTTCATCCCTAAGGTCAAAGTTGGCACTCTGAGGAAGAGTTCATGTTTGGCTGGTCTAGGTGTGGAAACCCAGGAAAGCGTTGGCCTCGACACGCCTTGATCGCACAGCCTGTGACCTCTGTAGTGCCGCGCGGCACCTTCCATCCACTTCGCTAGTGGCGTGGACCTTTCTGAGACTGCTTTCTCATCGGTACACAGGACTGAAAAGTCCTTAGCCTACGGGGCCTGCTGCAGTTGGAGCGATGTACGAGAATATACCTGGACCCAGGCCAGAAGGCAATGAACACTTCTCCCGGGCTCCTCCTGTCTCTGCTTGAGAGTACCACGTGCGTCCTTGATCAGAGTCGCTGCTGATCAACACTTGC